AAGGCGGCGGCGGTCCAGAGCGACAGGCGTCAGGGCCAAGCCGGCAGCTGGTTGGCGCTTGCACCTCGGCGGCGGCTGCTCATCCCGCCACGTGCTTTTGGCGGCCAGATATGGAGCTGGAGGAGTCGGGCATCCGAGAGGAGTGTGGCGTGTTCGGCTGCATCGCCTCGGGAGAGTGGCCCACGCAACTAGATGTGCCGCACGTGATCACCCTGGGGCTCGTGGGACTGCAGCACCGGTGAGCCAAGGAGAGGGAATTGGGGGCCGACCGGAGGAGTTGGGGGGAGGGCGCGTGACACTACATCTCACATTCTGCGACCTCGTGCGCGCTACCGGGCAGGGAGGCCCGACCCGCAGGGAGGCCAGACTCCCCCCTGCCCCCCCACTCGCCTTGCTGTGGCGTCCGGCAGGTTCTCCTGACCCTTCTGACTTGTCTGTGCTGCCCCTAAGCCCTGATTATGTTTAGGGGCTTGTCCCCCGGTCTCTGCACCCCTCAAGAGCCTGGTCAGTTTGTAGTGCTCCGGTCTGCTTGGACAACCAAGGATTGGGCCCTTTCCCAACCCATCCAGCCTGGAACTTCCCTGGGGATAAGATAGAGTGCAGGCTGGCGACTGCTTCAGGTCCTGCAGCCCTTTGAAGTGTGCGCGGGCCTCCCAGCTTTTGTTCGGGATGGCAGTCATGGAACGGATGATGAAGATGCGGGTGGTAGGATTGCAGTGGGAATTCAAGGATCGCAGTGCCACCCCCCAGGGACCTGGACTAGCTGGGGGTAGCAAGCATGGTCAACGAACTGCAAACAAATCCCTGGGAATAGAGCATGTGAAAAAGATTCATGGATAAAGGTTTTAGACTCTAAAATCTAAAATTTAGATAATGAATGGAAACGTTGGTAGTGAAAAGATGCCAAAAGCCAACTTCTGTCTTTAGAAAGGGTTTAGATACACATTGGTTTTGAAAAAAAATGGGCGGGAGTGGGTCTTAGTGTTACAAAATAAAGTGAAAAATCACTTTTCATAACCTTTCTATTTCTCAGGACTTGACCTTACTGGAAGTTGATAGGAACCATTGCTGAGTGGCCAGGCAAGAACTGGAACTCTAGGTTTCACAGGGTCTCTGGAAGCATGGCAGTAGTTAAGTGGTAGCAACAGTTAAGGAATTTGCAGTGTCCCTTATCAGTATTGTAGGTGCAACCTGCAGAAATACATTCCAAATGACTAGCTTTCACTCTTAAATGGGAAGTAGTCTTCTGGCCCTTCCAAAGTAGTCTTCTGGCCCTTCCAATTTGTATACATTTTGCACACTCCTGGTTTACTGAAAGCTGACACTAAACTGGATCTGGGGTGAATCAGAAAGCGTTTGTCGTGTATGTGTTTTTTGTTTTTAACTTCAATAACTCTTATCCTGGATCATTGTGGATTTTTAATAACTTATCCTGGATAATTCAGTGGTCATATTAGAAATCTTATTTTAAAAACATTTGCTAGGATTCAATATGTAATCCACTTAGGAGTGGCAATGATGGTAGAATGTAAACCTCAAGAAGGCTTGGGGAGTGGTGAGGGAGGGGCTGCTGTGCACAGGGAGAGATATGGTTATTCTTAAGTATGCTTAAGGACTGACTTTTATGTAAAGTGCCTAATGTGGACATTTTCAGGAATTTCTTCCTTCTCCCAAAGACTAAGTTTTCTAGAATCGGCGCATGGCTAACAGGAAGAGAAGCCAAACCAGCGTGAAAGCAATAGCTCTACTGTGGCAGGGTTCTAGCATGTTCACAGTAGAGCATTTCCATATTTCTTCGAAGTTAGAATTTGGAAGCTGTGCCTGAGGAAGTTGGGTCACTTCATAATGGGTCTTCGTCGGCATAAACTTCCCACAAACTCTTCTGGTTCTGTTATGCTTTGAGGAAGTGGGTTTGCAGAGGTCTCAGGAGTAATTTTTTTAGGTGACACAGGCACTGGTTCTGTAAACAGAACCAAGGACAACATTATCACAAGAAAGGTGCTTGTGAAGAAAATGGAAGCGCACTCATATCTGTGCAGTCCATTTTCCATTAGCCTGTCAGAACACAGGATGAGACTTAGTTTTGGCTTTCCAAATTAAACCTTGGGATTGATTTATTTTAATTCATTTTCATCTCTTAGTGACCATATACATAATATTTTGATAATGTTTTGTGTTTTTGTCCCCTCAATTTATACCCTATATTTAAAGTAGTTTTTGGTGGAACAAATGACTTACTTGAAAACTGCTCATGTCTTTGATTTGGAAAGACTTAATTCAGTTACTTTTGTAAACTGGTAATTTAATGGGTTCTTGATGTTAAGTCAGAAGGGTTGTTAATGTTAATCAGACTTCCAGTATAACTTCTGTAACAGTTTGTTGGCATATAGTTCATGTGCCATACAATTCAGTGGTTTAAGTAGATTTTTAAAAGTTGTGCAGACATCAACATAATCCATTTTAGAATATTTTCTTCAGTCTTGTGTATCCAATATTATTAGCTCCCCATTTACCAACCTCCCCTGCCTAACCTTAAGAACCTATTCATCTACCTTTAGATATACTTGCCCTGGATTTCAGATAAAGAAAACCATACCCCCAAACCACGCCAGCAGCAGAAATGAAGCAGGAAAACCCAATACAAAAGAAAGCAGAAAATAATAAAAACTAGAACAAATTGAGAATGGGCCAAAGGCGAAAGCAAATGTTAAGATAATAACTTTTAACCTAATGTTAAGAGCAGTGGACTACACACGGGGCTGCCAATGGCAAGGTCAGCAGCCCAACCCCCCCAGCACTCTGAGGGAGAAAGGCCAGGCCCTCTACTCATAGGCTTGGAAACCCAAAGGGACAGTTTAGCTCTGCCTTACAGGGTTGCCATGTGTCAGAGCCAGCGAGTTTGAATTTGCTATCTGCATGATCCACTTCCTAAGGCACGCTTAGAGTAAGTCTATTCACATTACATCCCTGCTCAGCGGTCCCTAGGGAATTCTGTGGAGGCTTCATTCAAGTGAGGACTTAGCAAATGAATTTTTTGAAAACTTTACTATTCGCCTTCAGTCTGCAACAGCATTATCTACCCCTCTAAAGAGTCTCACATGCTCCCATTCTGGTCAATGTTGGGAACAACTTCCAAATCCTATTCCTAAAACCTATTGCCAGCAAGTTGATTCTGATGCACCGTGACCCTTTACAGGCTTTCGGAGACTCTGAATCATTACAGGAGCAGACAGCCTCAGTTTTCACCCACAGAGCTGCTGGCCAGTTTGCTAATAGTGCACAGCGCCACCAACAACACATTGCACTGCCACTGAGTCCAGGCTGACTCATGGCGACCCTATAGGGCAGTGTAGAACTACCCCTGTGACTTTCTAAGACTGTAACTATTAATGGGAATAGAAACACCATGTTCCTCAAGGAGGGACTGGTGGTTTGGAATTGCAGACCTTGTGGATTGCAGCCCAGCTCGGAACCACTCCACTACCAGGGCTCCTTTATATAATCCCAAATTTCTTAATATCAGTTTGATGTCTGGCAAGGCTCCTAACTGCTGAGCGTTGTTTATCTCTTGGGTTACATATCTACTTCTGGTCTTTTTCAGGAGCCCTGGTGGCATAGTGGGTTAAGCACTAAACTGCTAAAAACAAGGTCAGCGGTGGGAGCTCCCCAGTTGCTCTTCAGGGAAAAGATGAGACTTGTTAAGATTTAGGCTTGGAAACCCAAAGGGGCAGCTCTATCTGTGCTATAGGGCTACTATGAGTTGTCAGCATCAATTTGGTGGCCGTGGGTTTGTTTTTCAGCCCTCACAGGGCTGCAAATGATTTGTGTGGTTATTACTGTGTGCCAACAAGTCCATTTCCATTGATAGCAACCCCCTGGGACGGGGTAGAATTGCCACGGAGAGCTTCTAAGGCTGCTGTTGGGAGCAGACTACCACATCTTTCTCTGCTGGAGCAGGTAGTGGGTTCGAACTGTCAACCTTGCAGGTAGCAGCTGTGCCACTGGGGCTTCTTTTTGTGTGGTTCACTTTTAGCAACCTCCGTATTCAATAGCATTTCTGCTAAAGGACATTCCATACCTCAGCATTCAAACCTCAGACTTAAAAAAAAAATTCACTTGCCAACCAGTCAATGCCAACTCTTAGTGATCCTATAGGACGGAGTAGAGCTGCCCCTGTGAGTTTCTGAGACTGTCACTCTTGGGAGTAGAAAGCCCCATCTTCCTCTCACAGAGGGCTTGGTGGTTTCTACCACTGGTGACCTTGCAGGTAGCAGCAGCCTTACAGGTAACCACTATGCCACTGGGAAGGGCATTAATAAGAGAAGGCAAAGCAGGGTAGGAAATGCAAGAGTGCTAGGAAAGTGGTGTCAACACCTTGGATATGCAGTTTGTAACCAAAAATGGAGTGCCAAAAATGTATTTGTAGCAAAAGTAATGTTTTAAAAAAAACTTTCCAAGAGATGTATCCACCCCACCCCCACCCCCAATCCAACTAGGTCTTTATTTAAAGGTTAGTGTCAAGAACCTTGGAGCTCTATGACAACAATTACTGTAGTACTTGTTGCTGAGAAAGGAGCCTGGTTGCATAGTGTAAACATTGGGCTGATAGCCTCAAGGTCAGCAGTTTGGAACCACCAGAAAGAAGAGGTTTTCTCCACCCCTAGAGTTACGACTTAGAAAGCTAAGAGATTAGAAACCTAAGAGAAGGCGGCTTGCTATTAAGTATCATGGTGAAATAGGATTTCTGCATACTTGCAACTTAAAGGGAGAAGAGAGAAGTTCTTGGTCTCTAGTACTTTATTCCAAAAAAGTGTTGGATACCTCCCATGTACATGCAAGGTACTGAGGCCATTGGGACTATTGTACCACATAGGGCAGGTGTGTGTGTATGGGGGGGGGGTGTCCTGCCTCCCCAAGGAATGGGGTGGCCGGTTCATTCAGACACAGACCTCTCTGCCTCTGCTTCCTCATTCTTATTAGCAATAGTACTGTCTGATAGGGTTGTGGTTTACAAATCCTTTAAATATATGTAAAGTGCGCACTGCAGATCTGTGTTCTATGTACTGGCTTATACAGTGTTGATGATACTGTGGTAATACTGATAAGGAAGAATGTGCAAATAACCAAACTGAACCTGAGATGGACACTGAAAGAGCAGTACAGGGTGTGGGCTATTTATTTATATGCAATGGGACACTTCCCCCAGGGGCCCTGGTGGTGCGAGAAGGTCATTGCTTG